CATTCAGATCTAACCAATGAAAAGCACATGTCTGTTTTTCATACTTGACAGCAGTTTGAAAATTGCCTTCCTTCCATAGCTGGGTGCTGGAGTCACACAGGATGAGATTGTGACTAAGTGCTGCTGAGCAGGCGCCAAGCTGGTAGGGTAAAACGAAGTGATGAAAATAGGAGGCCGCTGGGGTGTTTGGCTCTTTTTCTATTGCTGTTTTAACAACAACTAAGAAAAAAAATCCATCAGAATTATCTAAGAAACCGAGCAGTTGGTGAGGCAGGTTTAGATGGGGCCTCACTCTCAGCTGACTTGAGAGCCACTGTTGTTGGCGGATGAGAACCCGCTGCTCCTTCTCGGGTTCTGAACCGGAGGAGCCGCATTTGCTCAGGGCGAGAATGGAGGTCCTTGGGGAGGAGCCACTGGTGTCTCCCCTGGTGTTCCTGATCATTTCAGCTGTACAGAGAGAAACGTGAGCTCAGTTAAAGGAGCAGTGTGAGCAGCTAGTGATGTTGATTTTTTTTTCTCTCAATTTAAAAGCAACTCAAGCACCAATCAGTTTTTCTCAGGCTTTTTGTTGCTGTTGTTTGGCTGGATTTGGTTTTGTTTTGTTTTGGGGGTTTCTTTTGGATTTTTTCAAGGCAGTGTGCAGTCTTGGCCATCCTGGAGCTCACTCTATAGACCAGGCTGGCCTCGAACTCGCAGAGACTCGCCTGCCTCTGCCTCCCGAGTGCAGGGATTGAAGGCGTGTGCCACCACTGCCCAGTGAGAGTTTTTATCTTTCATTTAGTCAAGCAAATTTAGTCCTGTGCTGCTATTGATTAAAGTGAAAGAAAAGGGGGTCTGGTTCCAGTGAGCACAGCAAGTGTGTCTGCCTTGGGCAGTCCTCTATAAAACCATCTCGTTTTTAAAGGCGCTCAGCTCTGCGGCTGTACTAGGGACAAGTGCTTTCCCGCGGAGCAGTCCTTGTAGATCACAAGCGCGTTAACATGGAGAATCCATCCTAGCCTGAGCCGCTTGGAGTTTACCCCTCCCCTTTGCTCCTTAGGAACTCTTCCCGGTGAACAGACAGAGTGTGGACCATTTTGCTAAATACTTCACTGATGCGGGGCTGAAGGAGCTGTCGGACTTTCTCCGCGTCCAGCAGTCACTGGGCACCAGGAAGGAGCTGCAGAAGGAGCTGCAAGAGCGACTGTCGCAGGAATGTCCCATCAAGGAGGTAGGAGGCCATGGTGAAGTGCAGTGTAACACATGGGGGTAAAGGGTAGGGGTGGGGGCCCTCGGGGAGGTAGGAGGCCATGGTGACCTCCAACGCAGTGGACATGGTTGATGGATGCAGGTGTGTTCGCTTGAATAAGCATTCATGAGACTATGCTTTCCATGGCCAGCGCTGTCAGAACGATGCGTGCTGGTGTGTGTGCATGCGTGTGAATACCAATACAAATGGCAGGAATTACATAGGTCACATAGCACAGCTTTTGCTCCCTCCTGTTTATTGTTATATACTATCCCCTTTTCCCTAGGACTTGTCTCAAAGTGTTCACTCAGAATCCTCTTTTATTACATTTTGGGGTATTCTAGAAATTAATGGTATTTTGGTACAAATGCCCTACTTAACCTGCTGCTATGAGTATCAAACTGTTTCACCAACATACAGACTTGGCCGTCTATCTGCCGTTAGAAAACCCCATAGTGTGGCATTTATGTTTTAGGGTGGAGTCTCTCTGGAGTTAGGCATCCACTATGTGTAGTGTCTAGGCTGGGCACTTCGTATCACTGGGTATGAATGTGTGGGCCTGTTTCTCTTTTCATGGTGATTGGAGTCCGACTCAGGACCTGGTAGATGTACAGCAAAAGGGCCACCATTGAATTACATTCCAGCGCCTTTGGAAAAGAAAACCCAAATCCACACAGGGAGCAATCATTTGGGCCAGCAACCCCTTTATAAAAAGCTGTGTAAGAGCTACAGGTTTTGGAGCTTTGTTTCAGCATGGTTTGCTCTGTGTAGACGATTGGTAATAACTGTTGTTGTATCTGGAAAGGTATCCTTAGGCTGAGAAACACCCTTTTTATATGGTATGATAAACTTAAGCTGGGAGTCCCCCTTACTCCCAAATCTCTCACCCCAATTGTACCTACTATGTTCTAAGCCTCGCCTGGCTTCTTGAAAGGTTGAGAGCCGGAGAAGCTCACACTGATAACTGTCTATCAATCAGGTGGGGCTGTTAGAACAACAAATGCCCATGCATCCAGGGCCGGAGAAGCTCACGCTGACAACTGTCCACTAGGTGGAGGTGTTAGAACAACAAATGCCCATGCATCTGCCCCTTACAGTCAGCAGTGTTTCCAGTGCTGTTCAAACTAGAGTGTTGCATGACTTCTCTGGGGGCAGGGAGCTACGGGGAAGCCATAGTGCTGCTTGTAGGTGCAGGCTTGCCCCCTGCTCTACCTTATGCTAGGAACGGCAGGCAGCTCTAAGCCCGAGGATGGTTCAGCCACTTGAGAGCTATTCGACCCACTCTTTTGTTTCTGAAGTTCAGAGCAGAAGTAATAAAAATGGTTGTCTTCACACAGGAAAAGAAAGGGAAGGAGGGTGTGTTGTTAGTTACAGGGTAGCATACCAAAGATACTGTATGACTTTTAGTCACTTCTAAGACCCTACCTGTAATTGTGATTGTGTCAAGAAAAAGGCACAGCATCTGAGTATGAACAAAACACACTGTTCGGCGGACCTGCATTCAGAACTGAGAACTGAGACTGAGTCTTCATATTTGAAAGGAGAGATGACCTGCTGAGTTTTGCTAGACTGGCATGAATCAAAGAAAAAGGCAGAATTTGGGGTGTGGCTTGCTTGGCAGAATGCTTGGTTGACATGCATGAGCTTTGGGGCCAGCACTTCGTAGCCCAGGTGTGGTGTCCAGTCTTAGCAGTCAGGGGGTAGAGGGAGGAGGAACAGACGTTCAGGGCCATCCTCACCTAGAAAGCAAGTTTGCCTGTCTGAGGTTTGTTCTTGATTTCGATTTTTCGAGACAGGGTTTGTCTGTAACAGTTCTGGCTGTCCTGGAACTTGCTCTGTAGACCAGGCTGGCCTTGAACTCACAGAGAGAGATCTACCTGCCTCTGCCTCCCGAGTGCTGGGATTAAAAGCATGCACTACCACCATTGGGCTAAGTTTCCATGTCTGTAAGAAGAGGGGGGAGGTGCCTCGGTGCTTTACAGTGGCTTTACCAGTTGACTTTTCCCTGAGGTGGGGCATGGGAATCTCAAGAGTAGGAATTAAAAAATACATTGTAGAGAATGGATGTATACAAGGCCAAGACATCAAGAAGTTTAATTTTGAAGAGTAGGGATAAAAATTCACAGACCTGTTGCTTTCTTCAAACCCGAAGAGAGGCGCACATGCCCCATCCTCCTGAACCCGCGGGGTTCATCCCTACCCTTCCAGCCTTTCTCTTAGTCCATGCTGTCTGGCAGCTTTTGTCTAGAACTAAGTTTGCAAGGTAAAAGTAGATTTTTTTAGCTTTCGTCCATCTTGTCATTTGAGGGTGTGCATCAGGAACGGAGACGCTGAGTGCAGCCCTTCCCTCCCTGCCCCACACCTTTTACTGACCTTGCCTTGGAGAGAAATAACCCATTTCTAAGCTTTATATTTGGTCTCCTGTTGCTCACTGACTCTCTCTCTCTCTCTCTCTCCGTGAAATGTAGGTGGTGCTTTATGTCAAAGAGGAGATGAAAAGGAATGATCTTCCGGAAACAGCCGTGATCGGGCTTCTGTGGACCTGCATCATGAATGCTGTGGAATGGAACAAGAAGGAGGAGCTCGTGGCGGAGCAAGCTCTTAAGCACCTAAAGGTGATGAGTCTTAAATCAGAGCCATCCCTGGGAGTCTGCTCTGCCCCCTGAGGGTGTGAGCGGTCAAGCCGGGCATGGTGCCACACTCCTAAAACTCCAACACTCAGAAGCTGGAGGCAGGAAGATCAGTCAGTTCAAGGCCAGTCTGGGTTACAAGAGACCCTGTGACAAACGGAGAAACAAAAGAGCAAGTGGATGCCAACTATTTCCCCAGAACCAAATTAAACATATCCTGTCTACATTTTTTTTTTCAAACCTGCCACTGCCTAAAATGTTTCAAATAGGAGAACATGAAACATCTCAACGTGGACTCTCACTAAAAATATTACAAGCATCCACACAGTCAACTGTCAGGGCCATACATTAAAGAGAAACAGAGAAACGTGAGCTAATTACTGGCTGTATTTCACGTGGACAGATACCCAAGCCTTTTGTTCAAGTAAACCATGAATAGACATTGGAATTAGAGAAGTAAATTGATGGCCAGTTGTGTTTTTCAGGCGTAGACCAGCATGCCTGTGCATTAAGGCCAGTGGAAACCGTAGGTCTTGCACATAGAGTTCAGTTAGGGAGTCAGGGTCAGAGTGTGAACCAGACGGCCATAGAAGATGACGGCATGGTTTGTGAGGTGAGAGGAGCGAGAGCCATCTGTTCCGGCACAGTGATGGGGATTTCCTGGAAAGGGAGACGAGGGAGAAAGTGATGGCTAACTATCACCAATGGAGAACCAAAGACACTTGGGGTGTAGGAACAACAGCAAGAGACCCTTCGTGTGGGACTTCGGGAAGTGGAATCCCACCGTCCTGACTGCAGAGGTGTGCTGCACCGTAGCCCCCAGGATGCGATTCCACTTCCACAGTCCCCACCAATATACACGGTGGTTTCTGCTGTCATCTGGAATCAAAATGGAGTCTCATTTTGTCTCTTTTTAGTGGGTACGATGACAATAATCTAGTGAGAGCCACTGGCATAGAAACCCAACAGCCGTGAAACGAGCCTCCCAGTCACACCCTTTGCCCTCTGCTCTCTTCCAGCAATACGCTCCCCTGCTGGCTGTGTTCAGTTCTCAAGGCCAGTCGGAGCTCGTCCTGCTGCAGAAGGTTCAGGAGTACTGCTATGATAACATCCACTTCATGAAGGCCTTCCAGAAGATCGTGGTTCTCTTCTACAAAGGTATGGTCATGCTCCGTCCCTCAGCCTCTGTGCTCTGTAGAAGCTCAGAAAGCAGAGCGGGGCAGGGCAGGGATCACCAGCCTGATGCTAGGGAGGAGCCCCAGAGATGCTAACTGGTGAACGTCGAGAGAAGGCATGGCCTCAGTCTGCGCTGCACCAGGAACCTTGCTAGTTAGGCACCTAAACGTTTCTCACTGCTCAAAGCTGCCAGAAGACCGGGCATGAGCTGCTTGTTTCTTGGCTACCGTGAACGAATGTAATTACATAAGATAATCGAGTCTGCTTCTGAATTGTAACAATTAGCTCTAATAACAGTGATTACCAAAATGCTATATATACCGTGTGCAGACCCATTTCGGGGCCACAGGGCTGACTTGGAAATGACTGGAATTATTAGCCTTTCCCTTGACATTTTTGTTCTTTGGCCCAGCCATTCGCCTGTGTTTCTCAAGGCAAGGCTATTTTTAAGTATTCACATTTACTGTCTTTTCATGGTCTTTATAAGGTTTAGGTTGCCATGACAACTGGCACCGGCAATGAAAGTTAAATGTTCTCACTGATCTCAGTCTCCATACCTACAGCATACAAAAGTGATCCTGGGCTGTTTTAGGGCTGGATGATGTAGTTTTAATATGGGGGAAGGAGCGATTGGGAGATACATTGTGAACATTATAAAAGGCTCATTAGCGGTTATTACATGCATAAGCAGCATAATATAATGAATATAAAGTAATATAGGCTAAATGTTTATTTTCCCGTTCTATTCTTAAAATAGCCGAATGTTTTCCTTAGGTTTTACTAGTGTGCATCAATCGAACACGTGATGTCTTTGATCGTCTTCTCCCAGCCCCTGTCGCCCTCTCCCGTGTCCCCCACTCCCTGGCTCCTGCCCATCTCTTTTATCCCTACCAGCCCACTTTCACTTCTGCACCTAGGTGAGCTTATCCAGGCTTACGTACAGACGCAGCCCTCACCCCTGCTCCCCAGAGTTGTCTACTTAGAATAATAACTTGACACTTTCTGTGATAAGTCTTTACATGGTTGAGTAATAGGCATTTTTTAATTGGCCATCCAGACTCTTATTACGAATACATCTCACAAGTGTCTGGGGGTGATCGTTCACGTTTGCAGAACAATGGGTGGGTTGGTTAATTTTGTGTCACTTGACACCAGCGAGAGTCCCTTGGGAAAGGGGACCTCTGCTGAGATAAGGCCCCAGCAGTGCGACCTGTGGGAAGGTCCAGCTCCCTGTGGGTGGTGCCACCTTTAGGCTGGTGGTTCTGTGAGCTGTGAGGAAGCAGGCTGAGTAAGCCGTAAGGAGCAAGCCAGTAAGTGGCACATGACCTCCAGGTTCCCCTGACTTTTTTGGATGACAGACTACATATTGAAAGCTGAAATAAGCCCTTTCTTCCCCAAGTTCCTCTGGTCAGCGTTGTATCACACCAATAGACACCCTAACTAGGACAGTGAAATATTTCATATATATAATATGTGTGTGTGTGTATGTATGTGTGTGTATAAACATAGTCACTATCCAGGAAGGCAGCTCAGCCGGTAACGGTGCCAGAGGGACGGACAACTGAAGTGATCCTTGGGACCCACGTGGTGGAAGGAGAGAACCAACTCTCTCGAGTTGTCCTTGATCTCTCTGTACGGCTCACTGTAGCATGCATAAGTAAATTACCTAAATATAATTTGTTAAAAAATTTAATTAAAGCAATTGCTAAATCTCATTTGAAATTATCTATCATTAGTTCTGTTTGGATGTGGTCCAAAGATAGTAGTGTCTCAGAATTGGGGCTCGCCAAACGAACGTCCCATTTCAAACCAAACCTGAGAGGCAAGAGCACTGGCTGTTCTTCCGGGGGACCAGAGTCCATTCCAGCACCCGTGTGGTTACTGTCACATGTCTGTGACTCCAGGTCCCTGGGAACCAGCACCCTTCCTGGCTTCTTCCAACACTGCAGGCACAGGGCACCCAAACAGACATGCAGACAAAACACCAATGCACATAAATAATTTCAATTTTAAAATTAAAATAATTAATTTAAAAAAAGAAAACCCTGGGAGCTGGAGGGGTTGCTCAGTGTTTAGGAGCAGTGGTTGCTCTTGCAGGGGTCCTGGCTTCATTTCCCAGCACCCACGTGGTGGTTCACCATCATCCGTGGCAATTCAGGGGATGTGACAGCCTCTTCTGTTGTCCCCAAGTGTGCTGTGCATACACACCTGTAGACAAAACCATCAGTTGTAGAAAACGATTTTTAAAAAGTTCAGGTTCTGCTGCCAGTCCACCTACCCAGCAGCTGTTCTGCCCGCCAGTGCCACATCTGACTCACCTAACGCAGTGCAGAGGTTGAGGGACAAGCGGGTTCCCTCTTTCTGGGTTTCACTTGCCTTCTGACCCAGTGCTGTGCCCTGTCTTCTCCCCCAACCCACCGCCACCTCCATAACCGAACAGTCTCAAAAGTTTTCCATCAGAGGCATCATAGTTTAAATGTTAATTCCTCTATAAGAACCCCTGTTTCAGGGCTGGAGAGATGGCTCATTGGTTAAAAGCACAGGCTGCTCTTCCAGAGGTCCTGAGTTCAGTTCCCAGCAACCACATGGAGGCTCACACCCATCTCTATGGGATCTGATGCCTTCTTCTGGGATAAAGGTGTACCTGTTGATGGAACACTCACACATAAAGTAAAATAAATATTTAAAAGAAAAATATCCTATTTTATTATCTTATAATTTACACTCAAAGAAAAGGAGACTTGTTATTGGGAATGGCATCAGCATGGTTAATCTATATTCCATCTTTTTGTACTGCTGTAACCACAGTATCTGACAAAGGAACACCTTGAAGAAAGAAACATTCATTTGGGAAAATGGCTGCAGTGGTTTCAACCCATGGCAATAGGCTGTTCATGGGCAGCCAGAGTGAGGCCAGGACCGGGGCGGGGTTTCACCTTCCGAGACCCACTCTGAAGGGCTTATTTCTGCCACCTCCCCCACCTGCAAAAGGCTCTGCAGCCTGTGATAGAGCCGCAGGGGGGGTGACAAGCATTCCAAATGTGAGTCTTTGGATTCAGACCTCACGGCGTGTAAGTGGCACGTGAGCGTGAACCGCTGACGCCCTTCGGATCTCGCTATGCCTGTCAATGCCAGCATCCTTCCCCGCTAGGCTCCTCAGAGCAGCTAATGACAGGAAGTAAAGCTGACCACTTACTAGTTTCCAGTCCCAAATGCCAAGGGACAGTGACCTGAAATTATAAAATTACCCAGGAAATAAAAGGCAGAGGTAGCGGTTCTGCCTTTTACTAACCCAGTTAGTCATGTCTGTGGCAGGAAGGGCACCAGCATCACGTTTATTTTGCTGGTTTGAAGGGAAATCAGAAAGAAAACTTTCTTAGTAGGGACCTAAAGATAAGTCACTGAGATGTTAATTATTATTTTTCGATAATTTGTTAATTTTCTATGAGCCTAATTATACATACAGCCTATTTTCTTGGGTGAAATATTGCATGTTTCCTCTTGAGACCATCCTTGGGAGGATGGGTGTTCCTACCACCATTAAAATCGTTGCTAGGTTACCATGCTTATTTTTTACTTGTAATCAGTGTTTCACTTGTACTTGTATGTGTTTCATTCGCTTCTATGAGATAGTAGATGATCTTGTTCTGTACCCGGAAAGCCTAGATGAAGAGTGAGTGTGAAGTTGTTCTCTCTGCCCGACTCTGATGTGTGACACTCACCTGGAGGACTTGCTGAAATGCAGGCTAAGGTGTCAGCGAGATGGATCCGCACTTGGTGCTTCCTGCCGAGGGCCGGAGTTTGGTTCCCAGAACCCGGCATGGGTTCACAGTTGTTTGTCCCATACCTTCACCTCCAGGGGGTCCCACTCCAGAGGGTTTGTGAGAGGTCTTTTAACTTTTTCTTTTGAAAGGTGAGCCCCCCCCCAGTATCCCTGGTGTCCTGGACCCTTCTATAAAGACCAGACTAGCTTTGAATTCATAGAGATTTCCCCCTGACTCTGCCTCCCAGGTGCTGAGAGGAAAGATGGCTTCCACCGTGCCAGCCTTCATTTTCTCATTTACAGAAACCTCATATGTTAAACTCTGTGTCTTATACAAATATTTCTTTAACAGTTTCTTATTCTAGTTCATTCTTTCTTTTTCTTTCTTTCTTTTGAAAAAAAGTGAATGCCCTTCTCAGGAGATACTTCCCAGCATTCTTAGGGGAAATTATTTTTTGACCTGTGTCCCTGTGTGACACTCCCAGTGTATAATTCTGAATTTTTTTAAGATTCTGATGGCATAGTTTTAGACTTAACTATATAAATAACATGCCATAAAGTTAAATAGTTCTCAGCCTCTTTATTCTGCCCCTGTGTTTGTCTATTGTTTGTGAAATGAACCCGTGCTATCTAGCCTCTCTTTTGTTCAGTGCTGGAAATTACATAGACCAAGGAGCTCCCCACTTCCTAAGATGCAGGATGGAAGGAAAATATACCATCTAACCCAAGGGAACACCATAAGCTTGTAATTTTAACAAACCCCTCTCCCACTTTTCCATAATAGGATTAAAATATCCCTTCCTTTCTTCATTCCTCAGGAGTTCTTTTTTAAACCTAAACCTGGTGCCTTTTGCCTAGAATTCCAGCTACACAAGGTGGCTAAGGCGAGAGGAGGCAAGGCCAGCCTGGGCTAGAGAGTAAAACCTTCTGTCAGAAAGATGCTTACTACATGTACCGGGCTTGGAGCCCTGAGCTCACAGAGATCCGCCTGCCTTTCGGTCTCTCGCTCTGGGATTACCTGAAGTGTGTGTATGCTGATGCCCTCCAAAGCCAAAGACTTTGGATTCCCATGGAGGAGTACAGGTGGTGGGTCATGCATGTAAGGTACCAAAAGGACCTTGGGGGGCGGGGATGGTGATACATTCAACTGTTTCTCCAGCCTTTCTTCAACTTCTTGATAACCCGGCATACCTATCTGTCCCAGGTAGTGGCTTTAGTTCTTTTTATTGTTAATTCCCTAGTGCTAGAAATATGATCTGTCAACAAATATTCACCAATAAATGGGATTCTTTTTGTTTGTTTGTTCTTATTTTTGTTTTTGTTTTTCCAGACAGGGTTTCTCTGTGTAGCCCTAGTCATCTTGAAACTCACTCTATATAGACCAGGCTGGCCTTGAACTCCAGAGATCTGCCTGCCTCTGCCTCCGGAGTGCTGGGATTAAAGACTTAAAATGGGGTTCTTAACATCTCAGAATTCTTCATTGTACTGCTGTGTGATTTTAGCAGACTAACTTGATGTGGTTTTGCCAGTGTTTGGATGTCATTTCCATCCCTGTCATTGGCACACTTTGCCCTCTGTGGGGTGAGAAACACTAGCCTGAGCTCTGCCTGGGAAAGGCCTGCAAGCAGGGCCTCTGAGTGGCAGGTGAAATCTGCTGTCCTATCCTGCTCACGGGTTGGTTAATGTGTGGAAAGGATACAGTTTCTATTTGTATCTTTATCAATTGTCGGTATTTGTTGTGTCTTATAACCAACCTATCTATAGTTGTTGAGGAGGGAGAGAGACAAAGACAGAAGCTCCATATGGCTAGACATCTCTGCTGAGAATTCTCGCGTTCCTGGGGGATGAGTGATCAAAGGAGTCAGGAAAAATGCTGAAATCTAAGTCTCAAGTGCCTTAAAGACAGTGTGCCAGTAACAAGGGAACTTAACACCCCTAATTAGTATTCTTGAAAATTCTTGTATAGCAACACGTCTCTGCCTGGAGTCATAACCACCCGCTCTTTCCCTTTTTAGACTGATGGAGGTAACACCTGTTTGCCAAACCAGCCACATCGTTTATTTATTTTAAATGCCTGGGTGTTGTGTCTGTATGTTTTGTCCACCATATGTATATGTGGTTCCCGTGGAAGCCAGAAGAGGTTGTTCTCTCTTCTGGGACTGGAGTTACAGATGACTGCTAACTGCCACATTGGTACTGAGAATTGAACCTGCATCCTCTGGAAGATCAGCCAGGGCTTTTAACCACTTGGCCATCTCTCCAGTGTCCTCCTCCTCATTTCTTCAGCTTAATCCAAGAGTCCTTTCTAAATGCCTGATGGCTTTTTTAAAGGAAAGTAAAACTAAACGCTTTTGTTATGAAAATGCTACTGATGTTTTAAATGAATGCCACTTTAAATAATTCCTGTGATATTTATCAATCAAAATTATTTTTAATTGCATGTGTGTTGTTAAACTGTTGTGTGAATGTTACATCTATTTATCAGTACATGTAAGGGAATAGACTCTTACGGGGAACACAGTCCCAAAAGATAATTTGTTAGGACTCTGCCAGAGTATGTAGATTGTTTTCATATTTACCTGTCCTTAAGTGTCCTCCGTTCATAACTTAGTGGCGTGCCATTTACAATTTTAGATAATAGGTACTTCACACTTTCGCTGTGTCTCCCTTACTGTGACTCTGGGGAAGTACTGCACTATGGCATGGACTTTTATACTCTAGCATGTAATAATTGACTGATGGCGTGTGGTGTAGAAGGTCGGATTGACCGTCGATCCTGTCCTTGAAGCTTGTCTTTGCTTGCTGGTATCATCATTGCACCCTGCCTTCATCTTTTCTAATTGCCATTTCTCCTTAACAAACAGAAAAGGGAAATCTACCTTAGCATTCGGAGCTATTCCTAGCAGCTTCTAGCTCCTAGGCCCGCATGTCTGTGCCTCATAATAAATGAGGCTGCACCTTAAGCAGGATGTGGTAGAGCTTGTAAGGGCATGGTTTTCTAAAATATTGGAATTGCTGATCCGTTTGTTAAAAAGATTTCCTTGCCCCAGTGCTGGCCTGTGTGGCTTGCACTCCTGTGGATGTGGTGCAATCGCTGTGGCCAAGAGGACATTCTGTGCTACTCAGAAATGAGGGGAGAGAGAGAGAGAGAGAGAGAGAGAGAGAGGCTCTAATGGAGACGAGAAGAGGAAGTTGAGTGTCCTCGTCAGGTTTTACCCCACACTAGAGGCTCATGTTTTCTCTTTCACACTGTAGCACTGTCCACACACACAGACCCTTGGAGCTGGGCAGCAGTCCTCCTGTGCACACACACACACACATCCTTGGAGCCAGCGTTGTAAGCATATTCTGAACACAGATCCATGGTGATATATGAATTCTTGTCCTCCTGATTGCCCAGCAAATGCTCCTAACTCCCTTGCCACCTCTCCAGAAACGCCCCCACACCGAGTTGTTTTAAGCATGGCATTCCTGTTGTAACTTGACAATCTTGCTTTCCAACTGCAGCCGACGTTCTGAGCGAAGAAGCGATCCTGAAGTGGTATAAAGAAGCACACGCCGCCAAAGGCAAGAGTGTCTTTCTCGACCAGATGAAAAAATTCGTGGAGTGGCTCCAAAACGCAGAAGAAGGTAGACTTCATTTGACAACTCTGATGGTCACTGGACAAATACTTGGTCATTGTATTTCAGGTCACACACACACACCCACTTTCCTTAAAATTTTTAATGTGCCTTCATAGATAATAAGCTTTTTTATTTTGCCTCCATCTAAAAGCAAGATAATACAAGTTTTTTAAAGAAATAATAAAGGGACTATGGTGAGGATGAAATGGTGGGGCTTAGCCACACACGGTGCGATTGAGTGGGGTTTCAGCCCTTGCAGGTGAGCTATGCTGGAGACAGAAGCACAGCATGCAAGCCTGCCTTAGAATCAAAGGTTAAACTCCTCAATGATGTATGTGGGCTCATTGTATTATTAGAAGGCCAAAGTTCACTGGGAAGCACAAGTTACAGAGGGTGTTTGATGTGCTCTGATGTTTTGCCTAATTAATACATGGTAAAAATGTCCCAGGCTGACCACATAGTGATATTTTATTTGTAATCTAACAAATAAAGCTGGCCTGAAGATCAGAGTGCAGAGCTGAGCCACTAGTTCGCCACAGAGGCCAGGTGGTGGTGGCGCACACCTTTAATCCTAGCGCTGATGAGACGGAGGCAAAAGAATCCCTGAGTTCAAAACCACCCTGGGCTACACAAAACTGAGCCAGTCTTAAAGACAAACAGGTGCTGGCTCACGCCTTCAATCCCAGCACTGGGGCAGTGGAGACAGAAAGGGATATGGCTCGTGGAGAGAGGAATATAAGGTGGGAGGAGATGGGAGGGCAAATGCAGTCTGGAGAGGCACTGTGAGGATTCCTAGAGACAGGATCGTCGCTTCAGTCGAGGTAAAAGGTCTGTCTAGTATCTGGCCACTCTGCTTCTCTCTGAGTTAGATTACAAACAAAATATCACCACAGCCCACAGCATTGGCTGCTCATTAGAAGCTCATTCATAACCTCATAGAAGGGAGTCTGATAATAAATAATACCTGGTTTTCCCCTTTTTTTTTCTCCTAGAATCCGAATCAGAAGGTGAAGAAAACTAAATGTCTCAAGCACACTGCCTAACGCCACACTTTGCGGACGGGATTGCTGAAGCGTTGGGGGAGGGAAACTCGGCTTCTGTTTTATTTATCAAGGACATAAATGATGGGCAGCGAAGCCTCCCTGCTCAGAGGGGAAGGGGTTTTCATTTCTGTTTTGTTTAAACGGAGCCCTGAGGCATCAGCTAAGACACTTGGGACTCTACCTCTCGCTGTATGCTAATTAAAGCCATTCACCAAGGGGTCAGGTAGGAACCTGAAGCTTAATACTCATTTGACCCCTTTTTTAGCTGTATTTTCAGGTACCGTGTGAATGCCCCACTGCTGTCTGTATCACAGGGCCATATCAATAGTTGTGTTTCTTCCGCTCGTGGATGGGATTTGACAAACCAGTTTTTTAAATAAATGGCTTTTTAAAAATCCTTGTGTTTTATGCTCAGAGTTCTTTTCGTTTATTGGTGTAGTGGGGATGGAGACACCATGACCACAGCTACTCTTAGAAAGAAAACATGTCGTTGAGGCTGGCTTACGGTTCAGAGGTTTAGTCCATTATCTTCATGGTGGCGTCCAGGCAGGCATGGAGCTGAAGAGGCAGCTGAGAGTTCTGGATCTGGATCTGAATCTAGCAGGGAGAAAGAATGCCACACTGGGCTAACTAAAGCATCTGAGACCAAAGCCTGCCCCCGGTGACACACTTCCTCCAACAAGGCCACACCTCCTAGTAGTGCCACTGTCTATGGGGACCATTTTCTTTTGGAACACCGCAGGGTGTGTGAGAGCATCCAACTCGGGCTTCAGGTTTAGAACCTGGCCGGCACTTTCGCCTGTTCAGCCAGCTCCTATCCTCCCCGCACCCCCCCCCCAGAGTTTTTATTCCCTCAAGTTACTTCCTAACACAGGTGTCACAATTTTTTCCTATCCAAACATTAAATGGTTACATTTCTTAACTATGAGACCTACTGTGTCTAGACATGGTCACTCAAAGCTATAACCCCAGCATTTCGGGGGCTGAAGGACAGTTTGGGCCACACAGTGAGCTTCAGGCTATCCTGGAGTACAGTGTAAGACCCTATTCCAAATACTTTAGTGGGGGGGGGGATAGTCTGTTCTTTCGGTCCTCTTCATGGTGAAATAGAAATTAATCCCAATATGTGTGTATACTGCCAGTAACATCTCAGAAGTTACTACAGTTGTTAAATATGTAAATGTATAGTGTTGGAGCCCACAATACTGAACAGCGAAGTACAGCTGAAGACCAATAGACAGACCCACGGGAAGCGTATGTACATTCCAGATGGAGGAGCCGATTGCAGAGCTGCTGCAGAGTCACTGTCAGTTCTGTAGAAGTCGTGTGAGATTCTGGCCTTTCTCCCTCCAGAATATCCCAGCAGTGTATACATCACTCATTAAACCTGACTTCTCCTGTACTGGCAACCGGATACCTTTTCCACACCATGGACCCCTGGTATGAAAGTATTCACTCAGTTAAACCTTTGTTCTCTTAGTCAGATCTACATAAAGCTGATCCTCCACAACTATCTTTACTGACAGGACTCATTGACAAGAAAGGAGCCCTAAGCAGGAGGCTCTGAGCAGAGAGACAAATATGTGGCTCACTGATAAACAGGGCTGGGTGCCTCCAATTATCTAACTGCTGATTCAGAAAGGTGTAATCTACTGGCCTTTTGCTCTGACCTAACAAGCTATTAATATTCTGTATTTACCCTTCACCTTGGTTTCAATTAACATAAGATCATAGCCCAGGAAATTAACTGTTTCTGCCTTTACCCCTAGAGATACAGGAAATAGGTCTGAGTCACCAAAGCAGCCTCAGACGTTAATTCTCACCTGGCTGCTGGCAGGCACCCTGCTGGAGATGGAAGCACGGTCTCCATAGAGATTCCTATTAATTCAGGCAGCTACATGCTGATGCAAATCAAGCACCTCGCCTTCCTCCGGAGCCCGAGAGTTGCTATGGTTACCAATGCTGTGTTCCCTTCTGCGGGGATGGAAACGGAAATGCGCGGAGAGCACAGCGGTGCTGCTGCTGCGTTTCCCATGATTATTCCTCATAAACGTCTCGCTTAATCGTTACACCTAAGAAAGTCAGTTAGTGCACAAAAACTTCTTAGAACTTTCTGTGGATTCGTAATTAATCCTCCCGACATCTGCCGGGGAGCTTCACAGCCACATCCTCTCTGAGCCGCCAGGCTCCTCCTTGCCAGTTTCAGCCGGTTCCATGCTTGTTAACTGTATATGAACCGGAAACGTGTGCGTGGGTAGAAGAGCAAGAAACAAGAGAACGTTGGAGAGGACACAGGAAGAATAAGTGAGGCGTGATAAAAAAAAAGACTACGTGAAGTAATGTATTTTCCCTCAGACATAATTAGCCAGTTTTCTCCTGCTATAGCAAATCTTGCTGAACCCTGAGAGGTTTAATGGGCTTAACCCCAAAATAAACCTCAACAATATAGTTCCATGCTACTTGTATTTTCCTTGTGTCTATTTCTTTCCTGTGTGCTTAAAGAAGTGTAAATGTTAAAGTGTATGTTTGTATTCGTATATACTCAGGTGATTTTAGTCTTTGAAGAGTCTGCTCTCAATGGTAACAATGTAATAAATCTGACCATTTCGGAAACGTTGTAGCCTTTACTCTTGAAAAACATAAAGTGATTTTGCTGTCAGGGCAAGGGAAGGTTCAAGACAAAAATGCTACATAGACAGTTGAAACAAAATGAGGGTGTACTGCTAAGTGGTATAAAACCTTTCTTTTCCTGTTTGGTCAGGCGGTATATCAGCTGCTGGTTCTCTCAGGTCCTCCAGAGGGACAGACAGGACTAAGGGGATGAAAATATATAGAGATATCACAATTTAGTAAGTTTTAAAATAGTAACCAGGGCCAAATCACACCTGAGATGTTGAGAAGCCAGTATTCGGCCATGAGGCTGGGTTGTCAAACAGTTGGAATGGTTCCAGAATAGCTGTTTGTCAATGAGGGGTGCTTGCCCATGGTCACTTTGTCCACAAGGTGGGTGCCTCTGCCTTCCCCTGTGCTGAGACTCCAGAATTCCCTGGAGAAACACTGGTCTGTAAGCAAAGCAATCAGCAGCAATGGTGGCACACCTCAGCTTAGCAGCCTTTTTAAGTCTGGGCTCCTGTCAGAAGATACTGCCCACAATTGGGGCAGGGCTTCCCCATCAATCAGGACCATTCTTCCAGCAGGTTTCCTACTCGGGTGATTCTAATGTGGCCAGTTGACCTTAAAACCAAGCATAATAACTGCCTTGTAGGTGAGAAGAAAGTGTGATATTCCTTGGGTTTTATATGTGTATGAGTGTTTCACCTGCATATATACTTATACATAGCATGTATGTGGTGCCAAGGGAGGGCAGGTGTCAGATTCCTGCAACTGGAATCGTGGACAGTGTGGATCACACTGTGGGTTCTTGAATTGAACCCCAGTCAGTCTTCTGGAAGAGGACCCAGTGCTCTTAACTCTCCATTCCTGTGATAGTCTTTTTTTATTACATTGTGCATGTGTGTCTGTGTGTGTGTATGTGTGTGTGTGTCTGTGTGTGTCTGTGTGTGTGTATGTGTGTGTGTGTGCGTGCGCGCCTGCGCACACATCCTCACCATGCTCATAGAGGTCAGAGGCCAACTTGGCAGCAAACTCAGCGCTCTCCTTTCACAGATGTGGGTCCCAGGGATTGAATTAGGTCACAGCCTTGATCCAGGTGTACCCACTGTGCCATCTTGCCCTAGAATCTGGTATTTTTAGAGGCTCGTTCTTTAAGGGAGGGGAAAAAGGGCAAGGAAGAAAGTTCTGGTTTCTCCCAGACCACCATCAGTTTACGGAAATCTCTACTGTCTCTGTCCTCCCCCACCTACATGAGAAGGATGTGAAATTAAATGATAGTCACATCATAGAGCCTGTAGTGATGCTTTTGTTTGTTTCTTTTTTAAGACAGGGTTTCTCTGTAACAGCCTGTCTGTCCTAGAACGTGATCTGTAAACCAGGCTGGCATTGAACTCACAGAGATCCACCTGCCTCTGCCTCCCGAGTGCTGGTATTAAAGGCATACACCACCCAGTTGATATGTTTGTTTTAGTCGAAAAAAATGTTTAATTTCCAAACAATGTAGTAGCACATGCTAATCATCAAAAGGTGTAGGCAAGAGAACTGTGAGCACAAGGCCAGACTGGGCTATATAAAAATGAAGGTAACAGCAACAGCAACAACAACAACAAGAGTAATTTGGTCCACTAATTTGACGAATGTATGCTAGTTAAGATACACAGCAGACATGTTTACACATACAGTAAACTAAATCTGCTTCTCTAATACATGGATTAAAAAACATTTTTGAGTATATCAAAGATAAAATGTTACATATTATATTCAATTTACCACAGAATATTTTATACCATATTAAATGTTTCACATTTTATATCAATATTTAAGGAAGTTTTCCTTTCACTTTAGGGGAACATGAGTAAAAATTGAAAGCCACTGAATTACAGTGTATTTACCGTCCCTGTTTCTCAGGTGGCCAAACAACATGGGTGTTTAACTGAGGGTTAGTGACCAATGACCAAGACGGTAATAGACATCCAAACTGTATCTTCCATCACACATCTGTGCTTCTTTTGTTTTTTATGCCAAGAATAGCTTTCTACAGTGCAAGCAAAAGTTAAAAAAAAAATCCTAGCTCATTTGGTCTGGGGTATTACTTAGCATGAGCAAGGCCCCGCCATAAGAGCTAAGTAAATAAATAAGAACATGCAGTACTTCTATTTGAGAAGCACCTGGAATTTCCTAGCCTATAGCAGATATGGAAAGTCAGTTACCAAGGTCCCAAAGCTGATGGCAATCTGAGCTACATAACCTGGAGGCACATGCTCCAGTAGCACGAACTTAAAGGAGCCTCAAACTAAAGCCCTGCCATTCACTGAAAGCTTTTGTTGTTTTAGAGACAGGGTCATACACAGCTTACGACTGGCCTCTCCTCACTGTGTAACTGAGTGTGGCCTTGAGCTTTTGCTTCTCCTGCCTTCGCCTCCCAAATGCTGGGGTTACACGCACGCGCGTACACCACACAGTGCTGGCGATTGAATTCACGGCTCCGTGCACGTGGGGCAAATGCTCTGTAGAACGAGTTACAGCCGGCCCTGTTTTCCTTTAAAGTGGCTAACTTAGCTAGCATAATAAATTATCCTAGTACCGCCAACTTTAAGGACACATTTCTGACTTCACCCACCTGATCTGGAAGTGGCCTTGCCCCTACCTCGCCTGGGCCTTCTCTGGCTGCAGTCACGCAGTTGGCTGGGGCTCCATCCTCTGGAGGGCGCTGGAGCTGCTTCCGGGCCGACTCACTAGTTTGGATGCCTCAGCTCCCCTTCCTCTTTTTCCATCTCCCATAGGATACCTGAAAGCCCTCGGAGAGGAAGCTGGCTTTGCCCCAGCTGTGACTGATTATAGGGGGAGCCCCAGAAATAAGCCAGTCTTCAATAACCTGATGCTGAAAATGATGACGTCAATTCTCTGCACTCCAAGGCCCAGCCTATGGAATGTAAAATGCTATACCTACACTGGTGTGGATGCCGGGATATAGGAATAACATGAAGTCATCTGAGAGACTGGTTACTATAGTAAAAGTGGTAGGCAGACAAAAGCAACTTTTAGACATTAAAATCTTTCTCTAATGTTCAAGTAATAAGAACAGGGCTGGGGCGCAGCTCAGCTGTGGAACAATGACTTAGCTATATGTATGTAGATATGTAATAGCTATATATAGATATGTAAGATGATAGAAGTCTCAAAAATACACACAGAAAGCTCTGTGGCCTTGGCAACTTTCCCACACTGAAAAGTACCTGAATGATGAACACCATATATTTGTGGGACCTCTGGGGTACAATGACACTCAATGACAGCTGACATCACGTCCCTGCAAATGAAAGCAGTAACTCAATTGGACACCTACAGAAAGTGTGAGAAGAGGGGATGCACAGTGGTTAAAAGCTCTTGCTCCTACAGAAGGCCTGGCTTGGTTCCCGGCACACATGAAGCAGCTTATGAACCTTTTCTGCTTATTTATGTTTATTTGAATTTTTTCTAGAAAACAGAGTCTTCCAACTGCAAAAATTACTGTATTCATTAAGGAATACATTGAAAACATTTGGGGAGAAGCATTCTAATATTTTTAGGAATTCGGTTGTTCTACTCATTGTTCTTGTGACTGAGACAGGATCCCACTACACAGTCCTGTCTGCCATAGAACTTGCTGTATGAAGTGCTCTGGCCTTGAACTTCGAGACCTGTTGGAACACAGTCCCACAATGTAGTGTGAGAAGTCTGAGTGCTTGTGAGAAACTCCAAGAAAACCGACAAGAGCCTTGGGACCTCAGTTTCTTCAAAGCCCAGAGCTGTCTTGGAGTGTGTTTTCTTGCTCCTCTGGGGTGTAGCGCATAGGAGTGAGTTTACTTTGTTGGTATTTGTGTGCCTGTAGAGAAAACATATGCCACGTGCAGCTTATCCTTGGGATGGTACAGTTTACTCCCATGCTCTTCCTAACCCTCCGAGTACAGCTTCAGTCCCGTACTTCTCAACCTTCCTAATGCCGAGACCCCCAAACGTAAGGTTATTTCATTGCTTCTTCGAAACTGTAATTTTGCTACGATTATGAATCCTAATGTAAATATCCGATATACAGGATGGTCTTAGGCGACCTCTGTGAAAGGGTCATTCAGATCCCCAAAGGGGTCAAGACAGAGAGGTTGAGAACCACTGTTTTAGTCCATCTCATTTTTGTTTGGGCCCCACTCTCTCAGGTTCACCAATTGGAGCAGGAAACAGAGACCTACCTCCCTTCCTTCTGAGAGCCGGGATTAAAGGCTTATGGCACTCCCAGCTATAAATATGGTTTTGTTTGTTTCTTTAAGAATCGTCTATTCTGTATCCTGCTATTAATAGTATTTTGTAATATTTTACCATATAAATACAGAATTCTTCAAAAACATAACAGAAGATAATAGTTACCATTGGTATAAATAGAATATAATTATTCAGCTATTCTCTGGTGTCTGATTAAGGGAACGTAATTGCTCTCCCAGGCATCATAGCCAACTCCTTCAGCACGAATTCGTGAACCAGGAATACTGTCAGTGCGAGGAACTGAACCCAAAGACTGCTTACTCCAGGCAGCTGTTCTACATAACCCGACTCCTTTACACTTACACTTTTATTATATTTATTTAATTATGGGGAGGGGGCACATGAGTCCTACAGTATGTGTGAAGGTCACGGGACAATTGTAGGAGTGAGTTCTTCTTATTTACCATGTTGATCTATGGGATCAAACTCAGGCCGTAGGACTTGGTCACAAGAGCCCGTACTTGATAAGCTGTCTTCCCAGTTGACACTTGTATTTTGAGACAGTCCTTCTCTTAGCTGCTCAGGCTGGCTTCAAGCTTTCAATTCTCTCATTTCAGCCTCCCATATCCCACTGAGATTATTATTTTTTTTTTTTACTAATAATAGGGAAGTATAAGACTGGGTTTCAGCGATAGCTTTGGAGCATGTACTTGCCTTCATACTTGTCATTAAACAAACAAAACAGCCAAGCCTA